CGTTTCTGGAGCTTCTTATCCTGGAACACGGAAGGACGTCCACTTCTTTGGCGATCTGCTTCTGATCCAAGCTCATTGTATCGCCGAATAATGCTGTAGATAGTAGATCGAGGGGTTTTGGTGAGCTTTGAGATCCTGCTTGTTGGAAGAGCACTCTGATTTTGAAAAATCACTGCTTCTCTTTGATGTTTGGGAACCATTTCAAGAGCTTTCGACCTGAAACTTGGAAGGCAGATGTTGCTTCACTCAAAAAATCACCTGGCTATCACTTGTCCAACGGTTTTTTCAATAGGTGTCCAAGGACTTTTGAGTCACCCTGTAATATAGAGTGATAATCGCGAGATGGATTTTTTAAATATTCATGATACTTCCTTTGGAGCGAGTCTACTTATCGACACTAACTTCGAAATTAAATTATAATTATAAATGAGCAAATTCATTTAAATTGTAAAAAAGAATCCCGTGCATGTCATGCAATCCTCCGAATTCCTGTCCAGCCCCTTTCCTGAACGTGTCCAACCCAAATTCAAGGTTTTCTCGCGAGAGCCAAGAGGATCAAAGAGGGAGAAAAGAAGCTCTGTACTATATTCCCGGATGTGGGGATGATCTATAAGTCTATAAGTCCATCTCGTGACTATCACTATGTTACATACAGTATATGATATAGGATTGTCTATCTCATATGTATAAATATGTTATACCATAAATATAATATAAAGTGACAATCACGAGATGGATTTTTTAAATATTCACGGTACTTCCTTGGGAGCGAGTCTATCAATACTTATCGACACCAACTTGGAAAACAAAAAAAAATTACGTGTAAAAGAGCAAATTAATTTAAATTGTAAAGAGAATCCCGTGCATGTCATGCAATCTGCCGAATTTTTGTCTAACTCCTTTCTGAATGAGTATAAGAAGACATTTGCTTATTATTTTTTTTCCGGTGAAATGTAGATCCCGGTGATTAAATACGATTCGCGGAGTACGTCGAAGGCGACGTATCACTCGAGTGGGTCGACGCGCCGCACGATGCTTACCCGAGAGAGTCGAATGTCCCCGTCTCGTTCCACCACCTTGACTGGGGAATACTCCTCCGCCACTGGACGGAAGATGTCAGGCCAAGGTCAAGGTCAAGGTCAATATCTTGGTCAAGGTCAAAATTCGGGACGGGAAAACAGCCTCTTGAGCCCTGACTTCGCCGTCGCCACCGCACATCACCGCAGTCCCAGGAGGGTCCATTACGATGAGGATGAGGCGTATGAGACCCTCGTGATACCCAAGGATATCAAGCATCTGTGTGAGTGGACACTCATAATTCCAGACTTCATTTTGTCGTCTTCCCCCTCTTCCCCTTCCCTTGTAAAGTTGACGGGGCGGAAGCATTGACCATCTGAAGATCAAAATTAAGCAATTAATAATTGTGGAACCGAGACTCCAGCTAGGGACTTGTGAATCGCAGATGACTCTCTTGCTGAACAATGGTCGACTCAAAAACAGTAGTGACGGATTTGGGGATCACGCATCTCCTGGCTTTTTCCATAAAACCTTTTCTTCTGAAAAATATATTTAAATGCAATTATTTGGAGTAAAAAAAAAAACATTTCATTTAAATTTCCCGGAAATTCATGCTGTCAATCGATGAGTTGTTTATGACAAACGATCCCTTCCTCGACCACTCCTGGGCCACCGCGAGAACTACTGAGAACATTCACCGTGTGTTTCCTACAGCAGCAAGTTTGGTTGTGTCTATTCGGACAACCGTTTCACGGAATTGGAGATTGAACCCTGAATAGTCTCAATTTTCTCGTCCCCCCCCCCCCACCCCAAGTGCACTTTCAGCACTTCCAGGCATCATAGCATTCAAATGAGAGAATTTTACTTTTTTCACATTTTAAAATTTCAATTATTGGATTACTTAAAAAAGAATTGTTTTTGATAAAGATGAGATGACTAGTTTTGTGAAAAAAGAAACACTGCAAGTATTCTCAATGCTAAAGATTCATTCATTATTTACAATACGTTGAATAGACACTGGAATAACCGAAATGACGTGACCACTGTACTGGGCCTGGAAGACTTACTCGCTATTACTTCAGTCCTTCATTTTTCCTTTCTAAAAGCAAATGTACGATTTTTAGCATTTAAGCATGGTATTGCACGTCCCTGCAATGGATTCCTCTTCACTTCACGTCCCTTTCCTCTTCACTTCACGTCCCTGCAATGGATTCCTCGTGAAAAATTGAAAACTAATTCAATATAATTAAAATATTACCTCAAAAGTGATAACTCTCAAATTCATCGCATCTGTAAGTTCCAATTATGACAGAATTCAGCACTTGGTCTCCATCTGGTTCATGGATTGGAGGTGATGGCTTGAGTTTTTCCTACCTCAACTTGGTGGTGCATGTAGTGCCCTTCGTTGCTAATAAAAAGTACAACTGTATTTTGGAAGGTGCTTTCCTTAAGTAAGCGAGTAATGGGTGACATTTACCAGATCCTCTCAACTGATTTGATTTCATTATTGGCATTTAGGGGAATAAGATAATCTAGAGTCTGATTTCTGGAGGGGACATTATTAAATCATATCAGTTCAAGTTTAACCAATCTGGTGCGTCATCCAACATTGAAAAATATGAGTTTGAGTTCAGATTGGATAGGTTTGTCTGATCGTATTTCCAGCCGGAGAAGAGGAAGAGTTCATGGGGGAAAGTGCAGACGAAGAGAAGAGGAAGCTAGAAGACACTGAAGAGGAAGGAGGAGGAAGGGAAGAAGGAGGAGGAAGAGAAGAAGGAGGAGGAAGAGAAGAAGGAGGAGGAAGTGAAGAAGTAGGAGAAAATGAAGAAAGAGGAGGAAGTGAAGAAGGTCGAGGAAGTGAAGGAGGAGTATCATAGAAGGAAAGAGCAAAGGAGATGATTCAGAGAGAGCAGACCCTATTTTATAGAATATATTCATGCATCCATAGATCCACCTCGGCCTTAAGTGCACTTTCATGATTCCTCCTCTGAGGAAGATACCCTGGGATGAGCTTTATGTCCTTTCGGTATGGAGACCGTCATTTCCCCTTCCTTCGCGTGTCTTACATGGCCTTTCTCTTGCCATTTGCTCAGAAGACACGTGAGACGGAACCAGAGAGCCTTAAGAGACTATGAGAAATTTCCATTTTTCATGTAGCTAATGACGTGTATGCTACGCAGGTAGCACATAACATTGAAGAAACATCGATTCAATGTTAATTCAACTTCCGGACGTTGATTCAATGCTGATTCTATCTTTTATCCAATGTTATGTGTTACTTGAGAATGAAAAAGCTTGAGACGATGGAAGGTGGAAAGGAAAAGAGGAACCACTTATCGCACCCATCTCCCTCTGGAGAGAAGAAATACTGAAAGAGATTTCTAGGATCCCGGTTTGTAGACATTCCGGATAAACAGCTTTCATAACCTGACGTATGTGGATCAGATTGATTCTCACAGATAGGAAGAGTGGAAGAAAGGTCTCCATCTTGAGAAGATTCTATGACAAACAACCGTCTCTCGCAAAGGGAGGAGCCGATAAAGAGGATGATGATGATGATGTCGATTGGGCTGGGGTTTTTCCTCCAGGGAATTCCTCGTCAATCTCGGTACAGGCACGTGTAAAGAGGGGAGAGAAAACTACTCTTGGGAAATCATTTCCCTCCAAGCCCAGAGACGAGACTGTCTTTTCAAGTCCTTTCACCCACGAGCTTACATCTCGGAGCTTAGCTTGGCAGTCGGATAGAAGGTGAATCCGTATCCATATCGTTTGAGATTCGTTTGATCACAGGAGGAGAGCCTGAATCTCACATAAACTTGGCCGCTTCCTGAACTCAACAGATGGAAACTGGAGAGCAGGAATTTCATTCTGACGTCTCTTAACCTCTTCCCTGTTTTCTTACAAATTGACAATAACAGCCCTTACTTGCTCGACCTGTGAACAATACCTTTTGGAATCTAGCCAATGGGATCTTGGTTAAGTTATCCGTTTTGGCAAGGAAGCTTTCAACAGAGCTCGGATAGCTAAATATGGCGTCCCCAGATGACGGAACCAGTAGTTGCTTGCCATTAGGTCACGTGTCGATGATCTACACCGATTCCTCAGTCTAGGCAAGTCATCAAAGCGAATTTTTTTTATAGCTATGAAAACAACGCGTCATTTCCTTGAGGGTGGGGGGGATATGATCCCGATCTGTCCGGCAAGTTCCTGCCTGACTTTCAGCCTTCATTGAAGCGACTGAGGCTAACCCAGTTAGCCGGACACAAGCACGGTTTCCGACTGGCGCACTGGTACCCGGAGGTCCTGGTACATCGGACTGCCTTCAACTATACGCGAGCGAGCTGCCCTGCAGAGTCTGAAAGAAATAAAAATCAATGACTTACAAACGATTCTTCAATGACCATACAGACCGAGTCTCCACGGATTAGATGGGGCTCATGGCTGCATATTTGGTCAAGTCATTAATTGAGGTCTTCAAACAACGGGCAAGAGTGACTCAAGCGAATTCAGCCACTAGTCCTATACCTGACTTTTTCGAGGTGGCGTTGCCTATGAGCCTACGATGAGGCCAGACTGTCAGACAGCGGAAATGACTGGTAAGTCGGAAAACATTGAAAGCTTAAGGAAGAATAGTTTTTTCGCTTAATGGAAATAGTTCTTTCCTCCTCTTCTCTTCTTGCGATTATCTTCGGACGGAGTGGGGAAGAAATGAGATGACCAGACAGTCTGCTGCATAATCGTACGAATGGAAGAGGCAATTTTACAGTCTCTGAATTTGCATGGACTAATTATCAAAGAGATGAATCATCAAAGCATAAGTTCGCCAATTTGATCTGAAATTCCACCCAAGAAAGCTTCTCGGGATGCGTGCATCTAAGTGATGAATCAGTCTGTTAGTTGGAACTGGTGACGTCATCAGGTTGGCACATTAAGATGGTTGCAGTAAGATAAAGGAAGAGGGTGGCTTTATTGATAACGCCAGTTCCCTCTTCTTCCCTTATTGAGTCACCTCGCTATTGAGTAATTGTTGAATGCGCAATTTCGCTAAATAGACCCGTTTGATCGAAATCGATTTGTCTAGTTGAGACGATGAAGACAAGTGTCAGCCTGCATCAGAGAGCCAATCTCCCGGGCACGAAAGCGACCACTGTGCGGCGCTGTCTCAGGGCCGGGAATGAACCACGAGCACGCTGCATCCGCGAGCACCCGCCTTTCCTAGCCGTCGTGATGCGATGTCGCCGAGCCACGCTGCCGTTCGTGGTCGTCTTCGTTCTCGCGAGGATCGGCGCTACCCTCGTCTCGTCGTCGAGGATCGTCTGCTTGGGAGGCACATCTCGAAGGAAAAATCTGCATAACTTCGCTGGTAAAAGCTATCAAAGGCATGTTTGCGAGTCGTCTTCCTTCCCCTCTGCAGATCGGTACCGAGGAGCTACCGCATCTTTTCGACCTCGCTCTCGGCCTCCGAGCAAGACTGCAAGGCTGGCTCTCTCGCTCGGCTGAGTCACTCAGATCCATATGGCTCCATTCACCCGTTCGTAGATCTGGCTGTTCTTTTGCGAGCAGACACCGTCGGCTCAGACGTTCATGGCCTGTCGACACAGAACCAAACCAAGATTCGAGGAAGAAACGGTCTGATGATATTTGCCATCCCTCTTTCGAATAACATGTGTATCTCATGATCATCCCTTAAGTTCAAGGGTAATACTTCATTGCACGCACCCCCATTGTGTTCCGGGCTTAACCTCGCGCCCCCCTTTCCATCTAAAGGACACAGGCCTGAAACCCCCCCTCTAATGGCACCTGGGGTGGAGCCTTTGTTTTCGTTACGCAAAGAACAAAAAGCAAAAGCATCGCAGCAGTTCGAGCTCTAGCCCACAGCTACAATCTGTCACCAAATTTAATGCGAACGATGAGGTTGCTTCCGGGCTCACGAGTCTAATCTGGCCCCGGTGGTTTCTATCTTCAGCTCACATTTGCTTTCCTTGATCGCCTCGACTCGACTGAGAAACATCAAAATAAATTCAGTTAAAAATTGAGCCAGATATTATTTTTTCCCATCAGAGTGCTCATCAAAATTAATATGAAAACAAAAAAAGTAAAAGCGATTGTGCTCTCGCGTCCCCCCCGTTTGAGATTCGCCGCCGAATTGCTTTCTTAATGTGCACCTGGTCGGATCTCTTCTGGTCATTTCGCTACGGAATGCGATCATCCAGAATCCTATGCCTAATGGCACGAGCTGTCTCATGGAGAACTGGTGAGGAGGCTGGAAATTTTTCATCAACAAGGAAAGAGATGACATGAAGCCTTGCAACGCAGCCTTAGGTGTAGCGAGAGGGGTTTAAAAGTTTCGGTGGGCTCCGGGCATGAAGCCATCGTAGATCGCGATGTCTCAAATGAAAGTTGGAATAGAATATTGCTAAATAGCAGACTAGATTCCAACCCAGTGTGGCATATCTGAGGTGTCGAAATGTTCATGGCATCATCGCATTTTTTGCGTCAGTAATGTTTTCCTAATGCCATAAAATAACTCGGAAACTCCTACCCTCAAAGCACGAGCGCGATAATAGGGAGCACACTAGATGGCTCGGCAAGATGGGAAGGGTCCCAATTACTCGCATGTGTATACACGTGATTACAATGCCGAAAGGTGACTTACTTACTGCGAAATTGCGTCAAAACATGCCTAGCTAAGGACAATTGAAAACGAGCAGGGAAGTGGAAAGACCTGTGTAAGCCCGCGAGAGCATAGAAGTGGAACCATGGCCCCTTATCACGCTGCTTTCCTTGCTCACGAGCCTGTGTAACCTCGAAGTTTTTCCTCATTCGTTCCTGAAAAAAAAAAACGTGCTCGATAAATGAATTATAATGGTTGAGGATCACAATTAGATTGCATCTCGTTGAATAAAGTGGTCAAGTGTAGTTTCTCACGGGAATAAGGAGATCCACTACTGGACAGAGCTTGCCAGCTTCTTCCCCCCCCCCCCCCCTCCCCCTCCCCCATGCAGTCACAAACTATACAATTTTAGGTGAAGCGCTAATAATGCATGTAACCTGAACATTTTGCAGTCGCAATTAACATGTGCTACGGGCAAATCATAAATGTGGTTCTACAAATGAATTGGCCCAGATTTTGATGAAAAATCCTATAATAGCGTTTGATCTATAATGCCAAGAAAGGCCGTGACTCACTTCCCCCCCTTTCCACCTCCTCCCCCAAGGTACGCCCATGGCTTCCTCATTTACTATAATGACGAGGTTGGAGGTCTTAAAGAGCCATTATGCTCTCAGGAAGCTTTCAGAGATGATATCCATGCTTCACTGCCTCCTGTTCTTAGGCGCCTCATGGAATAGCCCAATTCATTCCACCTCTCCCCTCGGAGTCGTGAATTAACATCCCCCTCCGAGCGGGTCTGTTTAAACTCCGTCTGGCAAGACAACGCGGGGAACGGAGGACGAAGACCCTTTTATCGATCGGCTTTGCTTCTCCAGATTTTCAGCGGTAACGATTGTTGAATCGATGTGAGGTCCATCAATGGAGACTTGTTAAGGAGGACGAGAAAAGGGCTTGTCTTGTCCCGGAAAAAAGAAAAAGAGAATGGGGAGTCCTGGAAAGCACCTCCAATCCTGCCCAGACAGGAAATGGCATTCTCTCATCTTTGTCTCGTCCACTTTAAGCTATCTCCTTCCATCTTCTCGCATCGAATCGTTCGACTCGACGTCGAAGACGATGTCGCGGTTATGTCTCTCGAAGGACCGGTTCGAAGGGGAGGGATACGGCCGAGTCTCGCTCTCTCGTCGGGGATTTCAGAATTTATTGCTTCCTTACATTCCATTTGATTACTCTCGAACCGTCCCCTTTCGCCTTTCCTTGCTGCCG